CAAGGAGTGGCTGGTGACTATGAACCACTGACCTTGCGATTAGCAATTCAACACATACCCACTATGCTACCACGGCTCCTTTTAGTTTAGAATTGTTGTTGTGAAGTATCATCGCTTCTATGCCAACCCATAGTGACCCTGTATAGGGTTTCCGAGGAGCAGCTGGTGAGCTTGAACCACAGACCTTGCAGTTCAAACGGCTTTGCAGTTTGGCACATGATCCCTACCACTGCATTTAAGAATTTGTTGTCATTATTTTTGTTAAGTACTGTGGAGTCGGTTCCTACTTATAGTGATCATGCACAGGGTTTCCAAGGCTGTAAATCTTTACGGGAAAAGAAAGCCTCATCTTTCTCCTGTGGAATGGCTGGGAGTTTCAAACTGCTGACCTTAAGGTTCGCGGCCTGATTCGTAACAACTATGCTACCAGAGCTCCATATTTAAGAGTAGGGTGATATAAATCTATATTTATGTCATCTATAATTCCTTTCATTTAAAAAAAAATTAAAATTCTTTTAAAAGAGTTTTTAAATTATTTTATTTATCCAATGGTTTATCCAAAGAACACTGACTGCAAACCACAAGGTTTGAAGTTCGAGCCCACCAGCTTCTCTGTGGGAGAAAGAGGAGGCTTTCTGCTCCCACAAAGATTTAAAGCCTTAGAAATCCTATACAGGATCATTATGAGTAGGAACTGGCTTGACAACACTTAATAACAGCATAATTTCTTTTGTATTTAAAGAGGGATTAATATATATATATATTATAGTTTTGACTCTGGAATCAAGTTTTACATAATTATAAACAAAGTCAATTTGAGAATGAATGCTTACAATTAAAAACTGTATGCCCTTGGGGATAGAACTACATAAGGACTATGTTGCTAGTTACCATTGAGTTGGCTCCAACAGAGAACGCAATTTGCGCCATGCTCTTCGTGGTGGTTAGTGTCTCTGAGTTCACTGTTGAGACTACCGCATTGACGAAGTCTCTCATTTTTGCTGATTCTCTGCTTTACCAAACATGATGTTGGTGATGAGATGGCTGGCACAGAGGCAGCAACAATGGGCTCAAACCTAACAATTATGAGGGTGGCACAGGACCGTCAGTGTTTTGCTCAGTTGTGCACAGGATCTCTATGAGTCCGAACAGACTCGACCGCGCCTCACAACAGCTATAAGGATCTACCTTACGAGGAGCCGAAGTGCAGAAGTGCTGAACAGTGTTTCCGGTGATCATCTGTCACTGCTGCTGTTGGTATTGTAATACTGAGACTATTTTGGGTATAAGATAGGAAAATGAGCAAAAATGCCACTATCATTCAGAAAAATGATTCTCACCAAGGAAGAATGTGGCATCACTTATAAGATTACGGGTTGTAAGTAAAAATCCTACAACCTTAAATAATTATACTGAAATTATCAGAATAATTATTAGTGTCACTATTATTAGGGTTCTTACTTAAGAAACAAAATAAAAAAACCCAAACCCATGTTTTTAGGCGATTTCTCATAGGCTTAGAAGCAGGATACACCTTAGTACCAGTGGACAAGTCCAGCACACTCACTGTGGCAGGAAAATACAATCTTCCATGAAGCAGTCCTGGTATGATGCTGTAGTTAATGTGCTGGACTGCAAAGTTGGCTTGAACCTCAAGGTTAGCAGTTCAAGCTCATCAGCTGCTTCTTGGGAACCCATTACAGAGTTGCTATGGGTTGTAACTGACTAGACAACACTTAACAACAACAACAACATGAAGTATAAAGAAATAGTCCACTCCAGATTACTGGGCAAGAAATTACAAAAGTATCAATATCAAATAATCTGTTACAACAGAAAATCTTGTTAATGGGTCCAAATGGTTTTACTGCAATGTATTTCCTCATTCTTTTATATGCTTCAAAAGTTTTATGACAAAAAATGAAAAATAATTGGATTCTTTAAAGCCCCTTCAGAATAAAGAACAGATTTTGAAAAAAAGTATTTAGAAATGTTTCCATCATTAGGAAGTTTGGTGAAAGAAAATTAAATGTTTATCAATACAAATTATTATAATGAAAGCATTAGAAAAAAAGTATTTTCCAATACATAGAAATACTTCAAAGGACTGTCCCACTGTGTTTTGTTAAAAATAAAAATGTGCAATATCTCTCAAAGAGTTTTCCTTAACAATATATTGAGACATATATTATGGGAACCTTATTCAAAGAAAACTTTACATCATTGGTAGTTATGATTGTAGAAAGAGTAACATAATTTAGAAAGCTAACAGTGAAATTTGTTTGTTAGAATTAGCCCTGCCATCATTCTGAAGCATATTTTTCAGCTGTGAGTCACAATAAAATTAAGTAGAGTAATAAATTGAACTTAAAACTAAACAATTGAATCAAGGTCAAAACCACACTTTTCAGAACCAAAGGTGCATATCTGGTTATATTGCAGCCATTACAATGCGCCTTAATTTAACATATACTTTGTTGCATATTCACAAGTTAACTGTAAATGAATTGATGACCTTAATATATGATGAGCTAAAACTATAAAACTATTAGAAGAAAGCACAGAAGGAAAGCTTCAAGACCATGTTTTTTACAGTGGATTCTTAGATTTGACACCCAAAGCATGATCAATAAAAGAGGTATAGAAATTTGATTTCATCAAAATTAAAATATTTTATGCATCAAAGTACTTTATCAAAGGAGAAGAAGATACCATACATTATGTGAGAAAATAATCGGTAGTCACATCTTCCTAAAGGTTTCATGCCTAGGCAATGAATGCAGTGACTCCATGGGGTAAGCACTGGGTCATGAACCAAAAGGCTATGTAATGATTATGGTTACTCAGCAGCTTGATTCAAGCCTATCAGCTGCTCCATGGGAGAAGGATGGGGTTTTCTGCTCCTGAGAACATTGAAAGCTTCAGCAACCCCATACAAGTTTGTTATCTATCTAGTCAGACCCAACTCAATGGTACCTAACAACAACATCTAGATTATAAATGACACATGCACAATTCAACAGCAAACAACTCAATCAAAAATGGGTCTTGAAGAGCAATTTCCACAAAGGAAATGGGTAACAAGTAGGTTAATTAGAATTTATTAGTAAGAAAATCTTCTAGAGTACTCATTTATGTACCAGTTTAATAAAAGTGGTAAATATGCAAACATAAAAATACAAGAGTAGAAAAGTCAAGTTCTATATAGGTCCTAGTCTCTGTATGAATGGGCAACGAGCACACGTAAAGATGTTCAAGACAAGTGATTATTAAGGAAGTGCAAATCAAAACCACGATGAGATACCATGTCACATTCGTTAGGACAGGTATTTAGATAGGAAACAAAATGAAGAATCCAAAACAAGAAATGGTGACACAGATGTAGAGATTTGTGAACGTGCGTATGTTACTGGTGAATATGTAAACTGGTGCAGGGATTGCATAATAAAGTTTGGTGGATCCTCCTGCAGTAATATGAATGATAACATCATCCGTTATTTCTACTCACAGGTATGTTTCATTAAAAAAAAAAAAATGAGGATGTATGTCCACACAGAAACTTATACCCAAATATTTATAACACCGCAATTTGCAATAGCCGAAAGATGGAACCAATCTAAATACACACTGATGGATGAAGGATAAACAGAATGCGCCATGTGCATACAATTTACTATTCACCTCAGAATGGAATGAAGGGCTGATACATGTTGCAGCTTAGACTGAACCTGGCATGCATTATGTTCACAGAAAGAATGAGAATAAACAAAAAAGTGGAAGAAGGCAGGCACAAAAGACCACATGTTGGATGATTTCTTTTATATGGAATATCCAAAATAGGCAAATTCAAAGAGGAAAATAAAATCATATTAATAGCTGTCAGGAGGTCAGGGTTAGGTGACAATGGAGAGAGATCACTTAGTGCTTATAGATGTTCTCATGTAGTGATGAAAATTCTGTAGCGACACATATTCCTTGCACAGCAACCATCTCATTATCATCGACAGTTCACATATATGACAAAAGTAAAAAAATCTATTATCTGACTATTTCGCTCAGTAACAATATCCACCTGGCAACACCAAACACTCAGGTACAAAGCAAGAGTAACAGTGGCTGTGACGATTATGGCTATGCGTCAAGTTGGCTGAGCCATGATGCTCTATGGTTTGGCAGTTATGTAACCATGAAACTTGGCAGTTACCTGATGATGCAATTTGACACATACATAATGATGTCATTTGACCGCGATGTAATGATGCCATTATTCTCCACATTGGGATTTGATGTGGTTATATTCCATTTCTATTTTTCTGTGGCATTGATTTCTGCATAATAACTTTAGCCACGTTGATAAGTGAGGAGAGGGTTAACAGAGAGGCAGTGCTTGCGCAGCAGTGTGAGTGCACTCAGTGAACTGTATACTTAAAAATGGTTCATCATATGTGAATTCTCCTCAATTAGAAAATGCATATGTGCATACATGTGTAATGATAGCATAGAGCAAGTAAAAGGTGTTTCATAATGTTAAAATGTTTTTTAAAATATTCAAATTTCAGTTTTTTCTCATGTTTAATTAATATATATGTCTTTCATGAATAGTGGGTAGGTGTTCAATTTTTTTTAATATTAGGGATGTATTAAAATTTAGATAACACTGCTATAGAGTGAGATTAACTAATTTCTGAACCTGGAGGATAAATCTGAGCCCCAAACATACTTTGTGGAACCTTGGGAAAATATTCCAAAATTCATTTTTAATCCATAACTTAATGAAAGTCATGTGACTTCCAGTTACTCAGGGGACTCTCCATTTCCTAGCACTTTACATCTTTTGAGAACCAAATATTAATGTCTTTTACCCAGCACCGCACAAACAGATATTTGAAATTTTAACCCTTTGCTATAGATCACACACATCTCAGATAATTTTACATCAACATTTCTTCATTTGTTCTTAGCATGAGAAATGATAACAATAGAATATATGGTAGACTTACCCACACAAGGTAGGGAGTAGCCAAGCTCTGGGTCATGGATGAACTGCCGGTCATTGAGTCTTGTCACACAATACAAGTGGAAACAGTCTAAGCAAATCACGTGGCGGGAGTTGCATTGGAAAACTAGCACAGGGCTCCTGCACAGATACAGAAAGATATTTCTTCTAGTATTTCTGACGACAGAAATGGCAACACATGTTTTAGAACTATTTCTGTTATCCTGTGGGTTTTCTCAGGAAATTCTCTATACAAAGACCTGAGTTTTTATACAAGTACACAAACATTGATTCTTAAAAATTGGAAGCACTCTATGAACTATAGAGACACTGACTTTACCAATCTTATATTTTTATGTTTGTGTATTTATCAAACAGTTTTATTATACAGATGGGAATTCTTTCAAGCCTTTCTTTCGTATAAATTCTAAATAACCTTACTGTTAGCCTGTCCACTTGTATATATTTATATTGATTCATTATTACAACATGTTATTAACATAGCATTTATCCCCTAATGTACTGCAATCACCTAAAAATCAGAAAGGAGCTTCAAAGAGTTTGTGGAAAAGTGAAATAAAAAAAAATCATGACAGGGAAGCAGCGACACCAGAGATGGAGGCAGAGATGAGAGCATGAAGAGAAAGCAGCTGAGGACCCCAGG